TTCCTTGCAATAGTTTCGACAATAAACACACGCTGTTTAATAGTGAACTTCATTTCCACCGTCTGTCGACAGCTGTAAACATTCCACTCCACTTCCACAGCAAGACAAAGACTGACTGTTTAATGCAACCTCGGGTTCCGATTATGCAACCATCGGCGTAGGAGCACTGCAGTCGCGGGGAGGAGTTGCATCCGTTCTGCGGTGGTATGACTCACGGCAAATTGCAGCCGCGGCGCGCACTTGATTGTACGCACTGTATGAACATTATATTTATGCTTACAAATACACATTTTGAGACTCAAAATTGAAAAAAAATATATATATATTTCTCTCTCATTTTTTATATCATCCTGCGGCAGATATTAGAATTTCTGGAATGGGATCTTGGAAACAGAATTTTTTCTTCTTTAATGTTTTCCTCTCCACCGTTGGATTTAGCATGACAAAACTTAAAAATTTTGAAGTCTGAGACATTACTAGTGTTGTATTTTAGCGTCCTGTTGCACTGATTCACGTCCATGATGTGTATGTATTGACTGTCTTCTAGTGCACACAATCTCACTTGTCACTTCACTACATGTTTCAGCATCATTGTACCATACTCAGGTGTGTTATTTACATTAAACTATTGCACTGTTCGCCATCATGTGTCGTTTATAAAATGATTTAAAATGTATATTTGTCATGTACTATAATAAAATTTATATATTAAAATTTTGTTAAGATTTATCATCTTATACGTCGTATTTCAAACTCGCGTATTATATCAATCTTCCGCTATGGGAGTCTTGTGATGTGTCCTTCTGTTGTGGCTGCGTGCATTGTATTAAATCATTTTATATTCAAATCAAACTAAAACAAACAGAAAAAACAAAATAAAGTGAATGAAAAAAAGTCACAATAAAGGGTGAAGTGAAGTAGATGGAAGTGGGGAAAAGTAGAACAGACAGAAGGGAACAAAAAGTAACAGAAACCCTGAAAAGAGCAGTTTCTACAGGAAGGTCCAGGTCAGAGAAACCCAGTCACAGTGTATCCTTTGAAGCAGGCTCCTTGCGTTCATTCAGGCAGCCACTTCCATGCCTTGCTCAGGCATAAGTCACCTTTTGTGTTCATAATATTGGGATGGAGCTCTATCTAAATTGCCTCCCTGCCAATGTGGTCCATTAAAATAAACTGCAAATTTTTTGCCGCTGGTTTTGAGAAAAAGCCTGCATTTTTACTTTTCTATCATGCAACCTTCATCAGTTATACACAGAAATAAAGTCACTGGTGACACAGCACGCCATTTTATTGTAGGTATCCTATCAAGAATATTCTCTTTTCTTGTATTCTTTCTGGTTTTGGCTCTAAATTACATGGAGTATACCGCAGCAAGCATAAATGAAAAAAAATCACTATTTCTTGAGCCTGAGAGATCAGTCCCATTGTTTTGAGTGTTATGACATCATAAGTTAACATGCTGATTTCCCATAAATTGACTAATACTCAGCATATTGATTCTGTTCTTTCTGTGCATATACCCCTGAATTTTCTTGTCTTGTCAACTAACTTCATGCCTTTAAATTTCAAATTGTTATTATATAAAATAGACATTAAAGGTTTCATAAACCATAATTGTACAATAATTCAGTGATGAGAAGTGGAAAAAGCTGATGTTAATAGTGTGACTGACACGTTAAGTATCACAGAACCTGCAGCAGGATGGTTCTGGAGAACCTAATTGCATCTGTTACAACATAGAAAAATGAAAGGAACAGGAACTACTCATGGAAGTAGGCAATTGGTCATATCCTGACAACTGAGGTAACTGACGAGAGTTATGTGAATTCTCTGCTGCAGTAGCCCAGAAATGCAGAGAAAACGTTCTGTTTTGCAGGTGGCAGAAGGGAAAGATGCTTCTGCTAGCATCTCTCTCTGCATGGATCATCTTTACGCTTCCACTGGGCTTCATCCAGCCTCCAGCCACTTCTTGTATCCTGAAGGAAAACAACACCTTCATACTGAAGACACCTGCACCACCTGAGCACATGTACAAGCGAGAAGTGGACAAACACACTCTTTCCCTACTTGTGGATAGTGATCTGCAGAAACTAGGAGCAAGCAGTACTGACACAAACATGTTTCTCTCCCGGAATATTCGTTCCTTTCATCCACCAACAAATATAGGAGAGTCCCCACTTGATGTGCGATTTGCATCCAACTATAAAGAAAGTGAACATAGCAGCTGGGTGTCACCACTCTTCAGTTCAATTGTGTATCGTACACAGGTGTGTCATCTCAAAGTAAACTGACATCTGCATGTGTTGCAGATTGTGCTACGAGCTATTTTTAGATGATCATGTGATGTGATAACAAGTTAGCATTAAAATATCCGTCCTTAAAAATTAACATGCTGACAACAGCTGAAAATTTCTGACAAGGAAAAATGTGTCCTGCATGCCAGAAACCAAAAAATACCAATGTTATTCAACGTAAAGTAAGTCAACATATAGTATAAAGCTGCCTGAATACTTTATTGCTTCAATTAGTGATGCTAACATGCACAGGACATGCACAAGGAAAGAGGCATTACACCGAAGGACGTGGATCTATACATCCACTCCCCTATACATCTTCAAGGCATAGTTCTTAATTTGCTTAACACAGGGACAACTCTTACCCCTTACACTTAAGGACACTTCCAGTTGATTTAAGGTTTCCAAACATCCTTCAAATAGTATCATGTGATGTGCTGCAGAGTGCACTTGTGATGTTTCCTGCAGGTGCTGTAGATTTTCTCGGTATGGGATCATGAAGGCTGTGCCACAGTTCAAGATGTTAGTCACTGCTTCTTGCCCCAGTGGCCCAGGTTCAATCCCAGGTCAGTTCAAGTTAAATTTATGGTGGAAAAAGTGGCATTGGGGTAGGATTCCTCTGAGTAGTTTAATTTCTCTCGTCAATTCTCATACCAAATGGTCCATTTTCTTGCACAAATCATCTGGGGCAGGTATAATGAGCCATTTACAGCCAAACTGCCAAGAGGCTAAGTCTCACGCCATCTGAACAGAGAAAGAGATCATGAAAATATTTTCTTTCAAAAGTCAACACTTGTAGGTACCTGGCAGGTTTGATGGGTAAAGGGTACAGGGTTTCTTTGTAGATGGGCAGCAACATGGATGTATTGTCTCCTTTTACATATCAGTTGAAAACTTTTTACACAGTAGAGACCTTTTCAATGCACTTCTGTGGCCACCAGATCAAGCAATGTACATTAGGGAACTGCCAACTCTCCCTGACACATGACAACACATGTATCTCAAGAAGTACACTAACAGATTTGGGCCACTGAGCAAACAGTAATGATTGTCATTTGTATTTGGGAGATGTGTGGTTTGAATCTCAGCTGGGACACCAACTGAGGTTTGTCATGGTTTTCCTCAGTCTTTCATGGCAAATGCCTCAAATCAGATGACTGCCTCAGTCCACATCCTTCCAAGTTCATTATTCATTAATCATCTGACCATTACAGATCTACTGATTAAAATCTGTGACAAATCAAGGGAATCTCTGTGTAAAAAATTTTATTTTGTTACGTTATGATCTACATACACATTCATTCTCATTACTGATCTATGCTAGCTGCTGTTTGAAATGACCTCCTGCACTGCACAGATACAATCTTGCCCGTTTTATAACAAGATTTGTTGACTTTCATATGCCCTCAGGATTCTGTTTGTTGGCAGTATCCATGATGTTCCACAACAGTTTATCTCTTTTCTACATTTATCTTGATAAACAAACTCCTACATGTATACCCCAAGAAACAGTCAAGAAGAGTGAGCTCTAGTCAATAATTAGGCCGAACCTGTGGTCCTCCATAACCATTCTCACATGCAAACTGTTCTTGTACTTGTTGATCCAAGTGAGGCAGAGCAAAATCCTGTTGTAGCCACATGTTTGATCTGGCTTGGAAAGGAATCTTCCAAAACAAATGATAACTTGAAGTGTTCTGTCTTCTGGGATATAATGCTTCAAGCCGGGTTCTTGCTTGGCTTATTCTTTAACCCTGAAGAGGGAAGCAAGATGTTTCTCCAACATGTTGGTTGACTTCCAATAGACTACATGGTATTACACCCCAGAAGACATAACTCTTCCTGGCCCCTACCAGGAATTGAACCCAGATTCATCAAACATCCAGCCCATGGCCTAGACATTATATTGTCTGAACTATTCCAGTATTTTAATCAATAATTAATACTTAAATCTGACATAAGCCAAAAGTGACTCATAAATGTGTAAATATGGGATATCTCCACATCACAACTTTGAGCCACCTCATTGTGCAAACAAAGACAGAAGGCATTGACATGTGTCAGAGGTTACATCAAGAATTGAAAGCAAATGGATAAGTAGCAAAATATGACGGGTGCTTCTTACAAACAGCATTAACATGAAATGTACTGATGGCACAAACAAATGGCAAACATAGTGAAGGGGATTTGGGCAAGAGGCTTCACACTACACAATCTGAGGTTCTCAAAGAAGTGAAGATCCATGCTGTGGTTGTCTGGGCTATGGTATCATACAGTGTGGTAGGTGGATGCTGTTTCCAAAGAACATACTGCCTTCATCTTCAGGGTTCAAGTAATCAAAGTTGGGAAAGTGGCTAGTTTTTTTTTATTTTGTTTTATTTCTGTTGATCCATACTGGTACAACCATTGGATATAGAAAAGTAAAAAACGAATACAAGATAATATAATATTAATAATAATAAGATATGCAATCATTAAGATTTTGTAAAGAAAAAAATAAAATAAAAATAATAGAATAGTATTGATACAATGATATTACTATTACCATCAGAAATATTTATCTAGTTTTATGCATAAAAATTCATTCACAGTACAAAAAGAATGTTCATGCAAATAATATTTAATGCTTTTTAAAGCTTTTGATATCACATGATAATTGAAGAGCTATTTCAAGGAAACAGCGGCTCCGGTCTAGAAACCAGAAATTAACGGCCGTGGGGATTCGTTGCGCTGACCACGTGGCACCCTCTATCCGCAAAAGTTAGCACTGAACTTCGTCGACAAGCGGTGGTTGCTCGGTCGATATCGTTCACTTGCAGACTAAAATAAAGGAGTTTTTTTTGTATCACATGCCAATTCCATAATATCGGCTGGAAGATGGTTATATATCTTAAAGCCTGCGTAGTCAGGACTTTTATGAAACATCGTCAAGTGAGTCGTTACTTGATAAAAATTAGAATTATTCCTGGTATTAAAATTATGAATTTCAGAATTTTGTCTAAACAGTGATTTATTGGTAATGATAAACAGAGCCAAGGAGAGTATGTACTGAGATGCTAGAGGTAGTATATTTAAGATTTTAAAAAATTTTCTGCACGAATCCCTGGGTCTTCCTTCCATTAGTATTCTAACCATTCACTTTTGGAGTTTGAAAATATTGATACTGTGGGAAGAATTTCACCAGAAAATTAATCCATATGTTATAACTGAATGAAAATAAGCATGATAGATTAGCTTTATGGAATTTAACGATAAGAAAGGTCTGATTGCTCTTGCAATATAACATGCTTTGTTTAATTTGGAAGTCAACATATTGATGTGACTCTTCCAAGACATAGTATTGTGAAGTACTAGCCCAAGAAACTTTAGTTCAGTAGTATTGGCAATAATTTTGTTGTTATATTGAATTTGTATTTTGGAATTAATAATATATTTAGAGTGGAATCCCATTCAATAGGTTTTGTTCAGATTTAATGAGAGTAAATTTGCATTAAACCATTTCGTCACACTGGTGAAGACTGACTTAAAGTTATTTCCTAGTACAGTATTGCTTTGATTACTGACGATTACGCTAGTATCATCCACAAATAAAATTGGTTGGGGGTTTACATTAATGTTCAGATATTTTATAGATAAAGGTAGGTCGTTGATATATAGTAGGAAAAGTAATGGTACCAGGATAGATCCCTGGGGAACACCATGTTTGACCAGCCCCCAATCTGATTTACTCCTATCAAAGGGTCCATTTTTAATTACCACCCTCTCATATCGATTCTGGAGATACGATTATAATAACATATATACATTGTCAGTTATATCATAAAATTCAAGTTTATATAAAAGTATTTCGTGAATTATGCAATCAAAAGCTTTCTCAAAATCGAAGAAAATTCCACATACTTTTTTTTATTGTTAATAGCTACTAAAATTATATTAAGTTATATGACGCTGTTTTAGTGGATAGTTTGGGGTGAAACCCAAATTGTTCATTGACAAGGATATCACAAGCACGAACATGTGTCAATAATCTTCTAAATATTATTTTTTCAAACACCTTGGAACATGAAGTTAACAATGAAATTGGTCTATAATTTGCACAGTTCTTCTTAGCGTCTTTCTTGCATATAGGAGTTACAATCGAGTATTTCATATGTAAGGGAAATTTACCAGCTAAGACTGCCTTATTGAATATATATCATAAAGGGGTATGTATGGGGCACTAATCTAGTTATAAACAACAGAAGAAGGGGAAATGGGAACAGGTCATGGAGAATGGTCAGTTACAAATATGAACAGATTAGAGGACGAGAAGGATTACCAAGACTGGCAAATGGGAACAAAGGCCATGGGAAGAGGAAATACTCAAGGACAGAAGGAAGAAAGAGCAACAGCGGCCCTTCTGTGGGGCACAGACAGAAGAGCAAAAGTTCCCAATTTCTTTATCCCTTATGCACAACCATCCCCTTTCCAAGCAGAGCTAATTAAATCCTGAAGAAAACATATACCCACATACATGGTGTCATACCCCAACAGACCACAACATTAAGTATGGTTTACTTTTGGCTCTGTTTTGATATTAATAACATTGAAAACATTAGGGGTATATGACAGATTTTTAAAGACGTTGATGTATTAATTAATCCAATATGATGAACTTATTTATATATTTCTCAGATGGGGCAGAGGGAGGCATGATGTAAATACAATCCACATAACTGTTTCTTAACACACATCACATTTTTAGTAACTAAGCCATATCAGGATTGATTAGAGGTCTTCAGAATTTCAGAGTTTCCAGTGACAGGCTGTTGGTAAGCAACAAAAACAATAAAAGAATCATAAAATATCACAAATTGTTTGTCTTTGCACAGGATATTCAGAAAGTCTTCTTTCTGCTCCTCCTTCTGGTGCTGATAGGAGAATTCTTCAGTGCCCCAGCTATCACACTGGCTGACTCAGCTGTTATCACCATTCTGGGTGAAGATGCTGACCGTTATGGACATCAGCGCATGTTTGGATCTCTCGGATGGGGGCTTGCCATGTTCTTTGTTGGTATTGCTCTTGACCATTCTACTTCATTCCCAGAACATCCATGTGGCCCAGATGCTAAAGAGAAGAACTACACCATTTGTTTCGCCACATTCTCAGTGCTGATGGGTGCTGCATTAATAACAGCAACACAGATCACCTTCAGATATGATTTTCCTCCAGAACCAGAACAAAGTACACAGGAAAAGCAGCCTCCAGAGCTCTCACATGAAGATGCAATGCAACAGCAGCTGGCCCAACAGCTAAATCTGCCACAGCTGGCAGACACCAACAGCTTGCCTATACCAGCCAAGCCAGCTCCACCCCAGCTGCAGGTAAGATATATGTGATCCTGGACCTGGAAACTTCTCTGGTAGGTCAAAAAATATTCATTACTGTGATAACAAAAGCCTGCCACTGGACACCACCCTGAGACAGAAGAATCAAATTTATACCTGTGCAACCCATTTTTCTAGGATCAATCCTAATATTATCCTTAAAACATGCCCCTGCCTCACCAGTCAGTATTTCCTTTCAGGTTTATTTCACCTCTCTCATATGAGCTACTTGCCTTGCCCATCTCATTTCTGTGGGGGCATTGAATTATTAATGAATCTTCTAGAAGCCATAAGTGGAGATATTTTGTAAAAATAGAAGGTGGAGAGATAGGGTTCTGTCAGTGAGCTTGTCATGAAATGGACTGTAAAATGATTTATTTAATTGCAAATTAAATAATATCTTGAACAAAATTAACTGACTATAATTATGGAATATTCTTTAACATTACAAGAACATGACAGTAGCTAGGTACATGAATTTTAATAGAATCTGGAATGAGACAAAAGTGTTTCATTGGAATGTCTATTCAGAGTCATCAATTTGTATAAGAAAAACTGTACAAATTTGCAACAGAATGTTACATTCCTTTAGAATGTAGAAGGTTACAATTATGATTCCCTAAACTTCACACTTTGACATATTTGATGAGACTGCCTGGAGATAGTCACAAATGTGGACTGAAACATGTATCAACTATCAAATGAAACCAAAGCGAGCAGCTTGATTGGTTTACTTTTACTGCTGTGTTGACGGCCAAATACCACCAATCATGATACACAACTGAATGCAAGCAGTGAAGACTGTTACAATACATACTCCACGTTGCATGTGAAAGATAAAATGCATACATTCTATTGTCAGGGCTATAAACTGCGATTTATGATTTATAAATGAAGAATTCATGCATATGTGTGTGTTCAATCTTCTTCGTTGGTACTGTTTCTGAAGGTATGGACCATGTCACTCACTGTGTTCCAGGCATATTCATGTCGACTTCATGCAATAATACTGTTCTCTTTCTACAGACAAAGATGTTCGCACAGACAACACGAGAAATTCCTGAGTGGGTCACAGTTTTGAAGCAATTTGCCAACCTTAAGTGTGGTTCATTCCTCTTTGTATCTTGGTTCATGGGATTTGGCATTGGTCTCATCTTTACTTTCCTCTTCTGGCATCTCCAGGTCAGTCAAATGTAAATCTGTAAAATTAACTAAATTCTAAGCGCTTTCTTTATAATTAGCAGACTATCATGGAAGAAAAAACTGTTCACTAATTTTATAATACATTTCCTTGGCTGCAACTTAACTTTGGCTTCATGTTCCTGTGGGAAGTCCATAGGTAATTCAGTTAGTTACTCATTCCAACATCAAAACAGTTCAACTCATATTCTCCTGTACACAAAATGATTAGTTCTCTCCTGTCTGCTCGCACAGGCAATCAACTGAAACACAAATCCAGCTAATTTAATAATCCTTGTCCTTAGGTTTTCACAGTGGGAATGTAGCCCCTTAAGTGGCGATATCTCTCCGTGTGGATGTAGGTCAGAATACCTCCACTGTAACCCTGTGAATCGCAGAATGTGACAGAAAGGGAACCCAGTGCCTGGGGGTATAACTGGGCCACCATGTCACTGGGGACATAAATACAGGGACCTAGTCCTCCAAGTTGGGGTTGCACACAAGCCTGATGACCTTGCTCTGTAAAAAATTATTGTTGTGAAATACAAAAAAGCGAAAACCAGATCATATTTGGCAGAATCTTCTAAGGAAGGCTGTGACTCAAAAAGGGCCCTTTTGCGAATGATGGTGATGATTAAGTGGTGATTTCAAATGTCATTTTGTATTCCCTAACATACAGCATTCATGGTTCTTGCACCAAGGCAGCAGTGATGAATTATTTCTTATGGTGCTGCCACCTACTGATAAACATAAGAACTATATGAAAAAACTGTCATAGAGCCCAGAAAACACATGGATGTAACAAACACTGTGCAGCACTGAACCCATATGTTTTCCGGGATATACCAAGTAGGTACAGAAAGTGATACATGAAAAACATTTGGGAATACTACTGACATGGTGTACAGCTTTAACTTTTTGTAATCAGCCAAGCAGCATTCTACATGGCTTATTCCTGAAAGCCAAAGTTATACAGTTTTCATGATCTTACAACAAACATTCACACCATACTATATAGGATTTAACGTTCTAACAACAGGGGTTATGAGGAGTTCTTATATTCTGGGATACAATGCCATGTGGTACATTAAAAGTCAAATGACATTTAGGAGGAACATGCAGCCTCCATCTTGAGTAAGAAGAAGTAAGGCAAGCAAGAAACTGATATGAAGCAGCCAGCAAGGAGAGTGCATGTCTTGCAAAAATATGGAATCATGCAGAGACAGACAGGACCTTGGAAGCCAGTCCATTAGTTCCCACTTGCTTTTTAAGATAGCCAAGGTTGACCAATAGGAAACAGAAGTGTGACTAGGTTTGGCTCTTGAAAGGGCTGGTTGGTACATATGGGAACATGAGAGAGAGAAGTCACAGGTGTGTGTGGTGGGCAGAGAACCGAGGAGGGTGGGTGATAAGTCATGAGTGTGGGTTGTAGGCATGCAGTAGGGGTTTAAGATTAACAAGGACTATGGAGGAAGACCAGGAATGGAAGGAGTGGATAAACTTAAGCATAATATTTGGATGACAATTACCTCTATCAGGGCCAGTAGACTAAAACTAGTGTCAAATAATTATGAATATTGTATTCCAGCATCATAGTGAGTATGAACAACTTCCACAACAAGCTCAACCTACAACAGAACACAAAACAGAAACATGCAAAACAACATATATGTCTTAAGTGGAACATGTAATCTACAAAACCAACACAAGATAATGCAAGAGAAGACCACCTTTACTGTGATCACAAAAATAACACAATTTCAATAACAACAACTACAACAAAAAACACTTTATTTAACATTTTCATATTAATATTTTGCATACAGTTTATACATTAGCATTAATATTGGTAAATAACATGTATAACCTCACCCAGATTTAAACATCGGCCAATGTAGGGGTACAATAGCAGGAAAGTAGAACGTGAGTGTAAATATTTTATTTGATGATGGCCATAAAGAGCTGAAATCTGTCGTAAAATATTATATAAAGTTTATACACAAATTGTGGTGATGGAGCCAATAATAAACAATCTCATCAAGAGACTTTAAATTCGTGTAAGAACAGTAAGAAGGTGGTCACTTTTGAGCATCTACTGTGATGAAAGAAATGAGTGTCAATGTTTATAATTGCACTACATTAGCCACAACACAAGAATTCATTCTCTTGGTAGATGATAGCTAAGGATCAGGCTGACAGCATAAGTCAGACAATGCAGTCTTTCAACGAAAACTTTGTACCACCTCATGCCACAAGACCCTAATGCTTTTATATCATGATACTTCACTGAATTTCCTCTTCAAGAATAACTTGCAAGGAATGTATAACTTTTGTAAAATTAAGAATCAGTGCCTACAGTTTACATTTACATTTAAATTTTCATCAATCCAATTAACCTCCACAAAGGGCCAGATATAATATATGTCATACATTACAAATTCATGATGACCACACAACATACATCCTTGGTCAAATATAGTAAATAATCAGGCCTCACGCAGACAGCACAAGTTGTCAAGACATCCCACGTGGGCTGTGGAAACACCACAGTCACCTTCTTTCCAACCATAACAACTACATGTGGCGCAATTGCATTCCCTACCATTATACATACATTGACCAGCCATATCATCAATACAATTTCATTATAACATATTAAAATTCATAACAAACACAGACATCATACATACTGCCACACATACAACAAGCAAGTCTCAACAACATATAATACAAGCACACAGACCATTTATTAACTCCTAACATTTGAGCCCCTTGCATGCTCTACAAATTCATCAATAGAGTAAAATACATTACTTTGTAAATAATTTTGTAAAACAAAATTAAATTCTTTTTATCATTTTTTTAAAACTGTGCTATTTGATGGCAGTGTTAAATAGCTGACACCTGAATAATACACCCCTCTCTGATAGGACAATAAATGTGTTGTAGGTACATGAAAGTGGTCATTCCTTCTTGTACCAATTACATACAGAGTTATTGGTCTGAAACTTATCCACATTATTAACAACAAATGTCATCAATGAGAGCAAATACACACATGGGATTGGTAGTATGTCAAGCTTTTTAAATAAGTCTCTACATGTTTGAGTTGGGCCCACTCCCATCATTATTCTTATTATTTTCTTTTGCATAACAAAGACCTTATGACTGTCAGATGTATTTCCCCAATATATTATTACATATTTCACCAATGAATGATAATGTGCATAATATACAGCTTTAAGATTATTAATATTTAATATATAAGATACTTTTCACATTAAAAAACCATTTGTGCTCAAATTACAAAGCAAATGATCTATATGTCCCTTACAAGTCAGATGGTTGTCAAGCTGCAGACCAAGAAATTTTATAATTTCTACTTCTTTCAGAGCTTTGTTAGAAAATAGTGTATGAAGTGGGTAGCTCATAGCTGCTTTGGGGGTGAATATTATAATTTTTGTTTTATCCAGATTTAACACAAGTTGATTGTTTTGAAACCACATAAACATATGATTAAAAACAACTTCTAATTTTGTTTTTAAATTATAGTAGTCTTTAGCTGTGCAAAGAATATCTGTGTCACCTGCAAACATAAAAACTTCAGAGATTTTACTTATTTCAATGGTGAAATCATTTATGTATATATTAAACAGTAAACACTGAACCCTTAGGCACTCCACATCCAACAGATTCCCAATTGGAATAATATTTATTATTCATATAATTTAATTTCACTCATTGTTTTGATATTCTACACTATACCTAAAAAGAACTGTAGAAATTCTCTACGTTATTTGAAGAAGAATTACCACCTGTCTGAGGTCTCCAAATTAAAAATCCTAGTGTTGTTACCATGCATATAATTACAAGGCAACTGTCATGTACTCCTTCTATTACTGTATTCTAATAAAGGACCCACTGAAGATAACCAGTGCTTAAACAAGCATATTATTTTTCAGGACTATGGAGGATCTCCAACACTGTTTGGTGTAGCATCAGTCATCAATCATATATCTGAAATCTTTGCTTACTTCTTCAGTTTTCGACTCATCAAACAGATTGGTCACGTGAAGGTACAGATATTATATGTCTGCTCTAATGTACGTTTAGGGTAATGTGATATAGAGCAAATTCAAATTATTAGTCCATGTGCAAAATAGGGCCAAACTATCATTACTACTTAGTTATCTGAGTTTCACCTTCTTGCAAGTATATAAAACTCACCTCTTTGAAAATTCGAAATGAAACAAAGTTATATATAATCTAATATACTTCCAAATATTATTCCAGGTATTGTGTCTGGGGCTAACAGGAAATGTTCTACGTTTCCTCTACATTTCCTGGTTAAAAAATCCATGGTGGGTTCTGCCTTTTGAATTCATGCAAGGTAAGTATTAAAGAAGTTCAACAGTATTTTAACTGACTCCAGGGTATAAAAGCTGAGAATTATCCACCTCTTCTTATGGAACTCAAAAGTTCATCACCACTGCATAAGGTGTGTGTTTTAAAACAGAACATATTTCTTAGTTGTAATGCCATTTTACAGGCATCACTCATGCTGCAGTGTGGGCTGCATGCTGTTCCTATATTGCACATAACACACCCCAACAGTTGCGCAGCTCGGCGCAAGGCGTGTTACAAGGAATTCATCATGGTCTGGGTCGAGGATGTGGAGCTGTCATTGGAGGAATCTTTGTTAACTACTTCGGTAATCACAATAAGAGTTGAGAAAATATATCCAATACAATTCTAGATGTGTACTTTTATATTCAACTCTGGATTATCTATAAGTTCATTCTCTTCCCACATTATTATTTTTAATGTTTACTGATTTAATATACTATACTATACTATAAACTTTTAAGTCAACATAATGGTGTAACTTCAATAATATATGACTATGTAGGATGGCAGTGACCTTTCAGTGCTTGCAGAGGTGCGCTTCCCAGGAAAACATACCTTATGCTGGTTTTAAGAACTTGAAATTATCAGGTACTCTGTATTAACTACGAACATAATTTTTAACATTGAATGGTAAACTGTATTATGGTGACATGTCATCAACTTATCACATGTCACAGAGAGCACAATCAACCCATCATGAAATAAAACTTTGGCAGTATCAACACCTTTAAAATTTCTAACATACCTCAGAAACAGACTAAAGAAACCTGAAAACTGGCAGAATGATGTAAGAACATGAAGAATACCCTGCACCAGGTTACAGCAGTAGGTCTTCGCAGGGGCTCAGCAAAGCAGAATTTCTTCATATGCTCTCCATCTGAAGACAGAAACAAAACCCATTTCTGAAACAGTGATTTTTGTGTATAGAACTTCGTTATTGAACTAAAAAGCCATATAAATAACCTTAAACATTACAAAGACAAAAAACTCCATCCAGTGTGACTATTTAAGTTTTACTACTTGAAAACTTAGCACCCTTACATGTTTTGATCCTTACGGATCATCTTCAGAGGGAACATCGATACTTATTTGGAAACTACTATCACAATAGGTGTTCTGAATGCTAAATTACATACACACACAATGCCTGGAATACACAATATACACAAAATCCAAAATTTCCACAATCACAGCAGCTTTCCTGGTTAAAGTTTTTAAAACTTTGTTGTTTAAGTTAAAATTTATAAACCAAGTAGGTTCGTGTCATTTCTCCTATTGTCTTTCTTGAAGGGGGCTGAACTTGTGCCACCTGTCAATCTTGAGAAGGAGATTCTTNAAAAGATAGTTAACAAATATATTAAAACTAAAATAAAACCAGAAGTACAGTACAGAACAGGGAAGCTCTGCCATATCACATTTCTGTAGCCACGCAAATAAAATTAAATTCAGATGCCAGGAATATTGCATGTCCAACTGCTGAGGAGATATGAGTCCTAGATGACAGGAGCAAGGGGCCAGATCAAGGAAGGAGGGGAGGAAGAGAGTGGAGGAAGGTACAGTATATGAGGAGGGAGAAACAGCAGAAAGGAAAGGACACTACATGGTACTAAATATGTTACAATCGGTCTGATAACAATTTTTTTGTTTTCATGTAATTCCCAACAATTGTCAACCTCCAGCTCCAGTAACTACCAACATCTAGAAACTTGGAATTTCCTTTGAGGGTAAACACTTTTCCATTTGATTGAACCATGTAACCATTGCTGTAAGAAGACAGTGCTTGACCTCTATACTAGAGTTAAAATGAATGAAGCTAGTGAAATGGATAAGTAAGTTCACAATAAAACAAATCATGACAAAAATGAAGGAGTGACTGCCAGGATTTGATGCAAAGATGAACCAGTGAACTCTAATGTTTTCTTGCATTTGGACAGTGTGACACACCATACTCATATGGATCTGCCCAGCATATGAGTTGCGTGATTCCCACCAAACACCAAATGCAATTCAACCCATGGGTCAGGGCAGTATAAGTGCGTGAAGTTGAACTCTTGATGCAATAAGAAGCTGTTGCATCTTCTTCAATCAAAGTTCCTGAGTCTGTTTCTATACTTCATGAAAGAATCAGGATAAGAGATACAGTTTAAATGGTATCACCAGAAACAATTCAGATAGGCCTTTTTAAAATCATATTTGTTATTACAAATTTGAGTGAAAAACAAGGAAACAAAGCAACATTGGATCTTGAAGTGTCATTTAGTCAGGTGGAGAATCCCATAAGGAGATGATACATGTCACTTGCCAGATGGTGAAAAACATTATTTTCTAATGGCATACGTAAGTATATGCAGTGCTGGTCCATGTATACTGAAAAGTGTGGTGACTATGTTAAAAAATTATGCCTCTGTGAGTTACATATTGCTGTTGTGTTAATTTTAACAGACACATTGTGGATACTTTCTGACTCACCCTTGTGACACAGAAACTGGAAATTCAACTTCAGTTTACTTACAATTAATTCAAGTACCGTCCTGTTTTAAGTATGAGGTTCTGCCAGTATTTTCACACACACAAAAGATATCCACAGACATAACATTCTGTTAAGCGCTTAAGTGAGTATTTTTGTGTGTTTATAGAGGAAAATTAATAAGAATGAAACCGAGTGTAATATAAGGTTCAATCAGATGGTTAAAGTTTCATTAAATGAGAGCTACTTTATAAGTGTAAGATTTCAGGTTTTCACAGTGGTGACTATGAAGAATGTTGTCTTCTTGGACATGGTGCCATGTAGATATTGTGTTAAGCAACGTTTCAGAGGAACATCAGTTAACACAATATCTACACAATGCCACATCCCAGAAGACAGCATTCTTTACTTTATAGTTTCTTAGATATATGAGTACGTAACTTCAAAGGGACATATTTTTAAGTGTTCTGCTATGCGACAGTCACTTTGTGATATCAGGCATCAGGTTTATACTGAATCTTTCACTATCTTCAGAAAAAATTATGCATTATTTTTAAATTTGAATCATGACTGGTAAACATTTTTAGAAGTACGGACTCAACAATATCTGTGTTCACAGGAACCACGGCTACATTCCGGGGCTATGGCTTCATGTGTGCACTGGTGTTAGCAGCATTTGTGTTCATCAACTTTTATCGTAAGGAAACTGGTTTCGTGTCCGAGTTACCAGCCGCAGAGGACCCCCACCAGGTAAATACAAGCAGTCGATGGACCCACTCCACAAGCCCTTCTTTCAAGGCATACATTTGGTTATTAAAACGAATAATGGTTATTTTGCACACAATGAAACAGCCTATTTGAGTGGTGTCATGCGTATTAAACACTGCTCACTGGTATTTAGATAAGTGACCACAAGTCAGAAGTAAAGAAAGATGAGAACTGAGACATTTTGCAGGTGACATATTCAACAGACTAAAAGTCACATGAACATGGAGTCACAGTATTTTCCCTTTGATTTCACATTTTTAAGTATATCTTCATTACATTTTAATAAATTTGACATATTAGATTGGATTACACCAAAATTTGATTAAAAGTTTATGATACATGTGAAAATTACTTCATTTGATCTTAAGTAAAGTATGCTTTGTTATGGTTCAATACCGATGAAAATCAGAACTACCTAGCAACTTTTAGCAAAAGTCTCTAACATCTGATTTTAACAGGAAGTTCTGGGAACAGCTAATCACCTACTTACTTCCTTTCAATACTTGCTGAGTAACAGCAGGGCAGAACTTTATAACAAACAATATAATTCTGTCAACAGTGCAACTACTTTCATCACTCCTTCCCTTCACATTTCAGCCCCAAAGGACCATCATCAGTGTCTCAGCTATGCCAAAACTGTTCCACACTACAGAATGTCCATTTTTCTCATTACATATAACTGTGGTATATCATGATTTAAAATCTTGGATGTTATGATTGATAACTTAGTTCATATTAGTTAAAATACCAAATGCTGTAATTTACTTAAATTTAATTCATTAACTTTTTCGGTTAAAATTTATAAAATTCTTTTTTATACCTCTACTAGGGGCATCATCCACTTGTTCAAGCGATATAGTTCAACATCCCTCTCTCTCTGGATTTTTATACTGTAGCTGCCTGGGTGTTTGCATGTTGTTTTCCATACATAAGCCCATTTCTGGGGTTACATCTACAATATGTAAGAACCCACATATTGCTATCACGTATGATTTACTGTCTCTAGTGTTATGTTATGTTTGTTTAATTTTATGTACTCACTTTGCTCCTTGCTTGTATATCGTTCTCTCCACCTGCATATGGTGTTGTCATCCCTTGTGTGGATGTTATGCATATGTAGTGTGCTTACTCCTGTATTTATAATGTACCAGGTTGGAGGGGAGTAGGGGGAAGGGTGTGTGTATTGTCATCTTGTGTAAATCTTGTGTAATGCTTCAAATATGGGGTTGTATCAATATATCGTTCATATGCAGATTATCCCTACTGATTTCATTAATGTGATACTTTTCCAATGTATTCTAATATTTTTCTTTTCTCCCTGTTATAATTCCCATGGTATCTGCTATTGTTCCTTATGTATCTCCAGTGTTCAATATATAGTTTGAGTATCCAGAGTTACTGTTGTTACTACTAGTGTCATGAATATGTTTTTTATAGCTGGTATTGAATGTTCTTCCCATTTTTCCAACATACCTCAGTGGACAATCTAGGCATTTCATTTGGTAAATGCCACTTCTACAGTACTTATCTGTTTGTGGCCGTGGCTTTGTATCGTATTGTATTGTACTGTATTGTGTTCTGTGTGCAGAAGGCTACTTTTAATCGCATGTCCTGAAGAAGCTTTGTAATCTCTCTTACTTCTTTGCTGCTGTAGGTAAAGGTAGCCAACTTTGATTTTGGTGCTGTGAGTCAGCATGTGTAGTTTGTTTCTGTATTTGCTGAGGGGGGTGGTTTACTAATTAAATTTGTGTACTCATTACTGTGTAGTAAGTTTCTGATATTCTTTTCTCATCCTTTGCTTCTTCTGTTACTGGATACATATGCAATCAATTTAATATGTAGTTAATACCCAAGAGCTTTTACTCATATGGATGGCATGAGCTATTTGGTATTATAATGTCAGTTTGTGTGGGTTTCCAATACACTGGAAATTGCAAATTCTTTTCATAGTTATATATGATGAGAAAAAGTGGACATTCTATACAATGTAACAGTTTTGGCATAGCTGAGACACCTGATGATGGCCGTTTGTGGTGAAACAGGTTGTGAAGGGAAGGAGTAATGGAAATAGTTACATTGCTGATGGAATTATATTTTGTGTAACATATATATTAATGCAAGAGGATCCTTAAATACAACAGGGAAAACTTTATTATGCATGTATAGGCAAGTCAATGAAACAGTAATATAAGCTTCCTAAACTGCACCTGTACTGAAATGATTTAAAGTGATAAATTTTTTACTAGAGCCTTGTCAGCGAGAACAGGGCACACCAAGGAACAAGGTCCAAGAAATCAATTTGCAAGTATCCAGTAAAATAACAAGGAACAGTTCTGTTATGTATATAAAAAATGTGCTGATTTCTCTTAGACAATCCAGATGCAATAACTATTTTATCCAACAGATGAGAACTGTAGTGCAAGAGGAAGATGACAACAGATCTAGGACAGTAGAGGCTTTGTGAGACACCTCACTATCTTTTGCACCCTTTGGTACTGTGTATATTGTCTATGGCATGGTAATGAATTTTGATATTGGATTTGAAAAGCATGAAATAATATCTCTGTTGCATAGGTGGCAGAAGAAACAGCACATTTAGCTCCACATGGAGTTCCGAGCAATCCAATACCACGGGCATTATCTAGCAGTCGTCTCCATGAGCTAGCTGGGTCTGACCAATCAAGCTATGGTGCCACGTATCAGACAACTGGTGGAAACCTTGATATTCCTGGTCAACAAGGTAGAGGTTAGTCACTAGGGTGATTATTCTCATATAAAGCATAACTTGACATGTTCATTCTGTGTGACTCCAACAGACAGTTTTGCTGACAAACAACAGGCTGTATTTCTTAATGTCACCTCAAGTGGACAACTGCCATGTTCTTAATATTTTCATACACCATCCTCAGTGGGACAACACTTCCATAAACAATCTGCTGAACAGCTCAATAAATATCAGAACTGCAAGAGCACTTCAAAATTTGGCAAGTACCACTACTTCTTTCTACAGATATCTTCATTCAGTTACATTATATCACAAGATGAGGAAACACCACTAAGTGAAATGAATTAAAGGCTATGATATATATTTTGTAAACTGATGAATTTGAATGTGAAAAGATTTAGTTTAAAATGTAAATATCTCATAAAACCCAGCAGCTAACACCAAATGCCACCACTGGATAGGATTTTAACACAGATCCAAAACAAACAAACAAACAAAACGAAATCTGTGGCTTTGGTCACAAGAGAACTATACCAAGTGAGCAACTGCTGCCTGTCGGTGAAGTTAGTGCCAACTTAGCAGATGGAGGATGTCACATGGTCAGCGTCTCCCCATGGCTCTTAATCTCGGTTTTCTAGGCCGGAGCAGACAAAAGATTCTGAACTTAGTGATGGTAAGCATTCAGAGAGATCAACTCAGTCTTCTTAAGTTCTTTGTGAATATTACTTTTCATTTGTGACTGTTAGTCCTAAATATTTGAAGTGCCATATTTTGTAAGGATTTATTACTTACATTTACATTTAAATGGTCCTGCATTCTAGCAATCTGACAAATAACATACAATAAGCTTTCTCTACGACTTCTTCCACACTGATCTCCTGAGAGTGTTCAAGCTTCTGTGATTGTTTTTTTCCCCTGCATATTAAAACATCATTGGCCTAGACCAAATGCTGATGTGTTCCATCAAATTCCAGGCCTTGTGATGGCATATTTCGAAGCAGTGCCCTCCACAAATGCAAATCTGCTCAAGATTTTATGTTGGTATCATGTTGAAAGTCTACACTGCCCAGTAGTTCATATAAAATTAGTGCACACTACATGTTTTTTGGTCATTAATGTTGCAGGCAGTATCAAAGATGAACTCTGTATTATCAAATACCTATCATATCTGAATATCACTGTTACGTGTCTTCCCATCATGAAACATGTATCACACAACATGATTTTGGTAATAATTCTTTAATGTGATGAAGTTTACTAATCTCATTTAATTCCCATTATTTATTTCACATAAGCTTTCCTTTCAATTATATACTATGGCAACTGTTCTTCTTTCTACAGAATACCTTCTTATCACAACCTGTGCAGGCAACCCAATATCCTGCAGTCCTACTGTCATTCTACAGCTCCCTCATTCAATCCACATCAATTGCTTCATTAAAGAAAGCATGTCTAAAATAGTTCACTTGCCCAACAGGAGGCACCACAAATCCATTTCTTCAAAACGGTGGTGGGGGAGGAGGCGACTATAACTACAGCTATAGGCAAGGGGACACAAAAGAAGAATATATCAGACGCAATTTCCAGGTAAGAAATGTTGGACTTACATACAATACTATTCGGAGACTGGTTCTTCCAAATGTCAGTCTGACACAACAGAATAAAAAGGAGCAGTCTCTTAACTTTGTACATTACTATGCTGTACTATCCATTAACCTTCATCACCATTTGGGATTTACAGTGATGGGTATGTTTGCAGAGTATATCTCTTCTTAAACATGGCATTAACAGTACTTCAGAATTCAGTCTGCCTAGCTTCATATTTGTAATAACATCTTCTGTCCAAAATCATCAATCTTTTTTTTTGTAACAAATTATTTATAGTTATGCAAGGTTAGAATTTACCATCCATTATTTGTACTTACATTTGGTCTAATTATGTTACAACTACAAGTTGAGCATGTTAATGGATGAAGAAAATGGACTCCTGGTCTAGGATCTGAGCAGAAACTGGAAAATATGAGGCATGACACCTTTTTAAGTAATCTTCCTGCAATAATATATATGTATCTGTGCTTTCAGAGTAACATTTCAATATAAGAACAATTTCTTACATGATTTTGGCAAGAAGATATTTTTTATTAATAGATTAGCTGGGAGATGCATTTTAAAATTTCTGTTACCACTGACTGCATATGTCAGAAACAGTTTTAACTGTTGCCTAGAGAAGTTACAAGCTTCCATCACACTGCATACAAAATCTTACAGCACATGATTAAAGAGACCACCAGGACTTCAGTCAGCATCCAACATCAGTAAAAACCAACAAATAATCAAAAGCGTACCTGAACACTGGAACATTCTGAAGCCATCTGAATATCAAAGATGTCATTCAAAGTATTAGCAATGCCAATGGGCAGTCTCTCCTGTCCTTTGCCATTTTCAGATTCTCTGTAAAATTTATTCCTATAAAAAGTTGTTTTTAGTAAATCTTGAATAAAAATTGTATCAATCTCACAACAAGTCACAATTTGGTGAAGCATCTCTTAACTGCTATACATCATCTTCAGTTTTCAAAATAAATACATTTAATAATACCATGAGAGACTGCACTATTTACTCTACGTAACAATACTGAATATTACACAGATGAATAAAAACAATACTCAACTACTATGTAGCAGCAGTAGAGTGTGACCTACACACTGAACAGACTCATATTCTCTCTCTTTCTCATAGTGACATATTTTAAGCAAAAGCACAATTTTGGAGACTCAACCAAGCAGTGCATCTATCTGCCTCCCTAGTCTGGCACACAAGAAGTTAAGAGACACTGTGGACACAGTAAATTCAGCTAGTAAGTGCAAGCAAAATGTCAGACAACATTAGAGATATACAGTATGTGCCAAAAATGCAGTAGTGAAACTCACACATCTCGAACATGCATGTGCGTTTGTCAATGGGGCATAGCTCCAGCCGTGCGTGGTCCCAGTAGTGAAAAGGAAGTTGTGTTGTGCAGTTGTTGTTGGAAATGGGTCTCTCAATGGAGGAAAAAGTATTCATAGTTGAGTATTATTTTCGCTCATACATAAGTGGTCATGAAGAGGGGCAGAGTTTGAAAAAGGTGACAGAACAATTCCAAGAGAGATTTAATAAGACGGCACCAAGTAACACAGTTATGCTGTCTACTGTTACGAAATTTCGCCGTTCTGGTAGTGTACTGGGTCAATGGAAGGGGAAGTCTGGTCAACCAGTAACTGTTTTGACAAAAGAGAATCACGCACATGTTCTTCAGCAGGTGCTGCATTTGCCCCAATGAAGTCTATGACAAACGGCCTTGAAACTGAATGTCAGTGATACATCCGTTCGCCGATCGTTTAAGGACATAGGCCGATTTCCGTACTGGATACAGGTTGGATAACGCTTCACAGAGTAAGATATGTGAGCCAGGATGGTGTATTATGGAACATTTTTGGCCATGATGTACAAGGATCCAGATTTCTAAAGAAATGTGTGGTTCTCTGATGAAAGTCACATTCACTTGGATGGCTACATCAAACACAAGACAACTCACTTCCTTGGTTTTGAGCGGCCAGATGTTATTGTCCAGAAACCGTTACATAGTACACATGTGACGATATGGTGTGCTGCCTCAGCACACAGTATATTAGGCCCCTATTTCATTGAGGATGAGGAAGGCAATACGCTTACCGTCACCCAAGAACACTATGGGGTCATGGTGATCGGTCCATTTCTTCAGGATTTTAGAAGGTTCTGTCATGCATGGGGCCTTCACATGCATAGACAGTGGTATCAACAGGACAGGGTGACCAGCCATACTGCTCGAGAATCTCTAGCCATGCTGCAGGAAAACTTTCCAGGGCGAATAATTTCATGTGGTACTGACTTCCCATACCCATCCCATTCCCCCAAACTTACACCACCTGATGCCTGCTTGTGGGGAATGTTAAAGGAGAGTGTGTTCAACTGTGAAGAGCCACCAGGAACAGTGTCTGCATTACATGAGCAAATCGTCTCCTTTTGCAGGAGTCTGCAGCAACCTTTGTTCCAAGATATGATTGAGAATCTGTGTGAACAATATGAACACTATGCGTACCATGATAAATCAACATGCTAATAGTGTGTACGTTAGTTTCTTTCAGGAGAAATAAACTCACAGATGACAACAAGGTAATACTGTTTGTCTTTTCATTTCAGTACTGCAGTTTTTGGCACATACTGTATTTGCAGTTGAGTGGCTAACACTCCTGCTTCATTTCAGATCTGGGTTAAAATCACAGTTCAGGGACTGGCTACCATAACAAAGGCTGCTCACTGTTTTCCTCAGCAACTCCTAGCAAGACAGATCTCAGATTAGACCATGATTGCTTCCTTCCATACCCTTTCCAAATCATATTCAGTTAACATCAAATCATCCAACAGTATATGATGATAGGATTTGAGATTCTCACAGCAGTGGCCGTGAAAAGTTCTGCCTTCTGGGATATAATGCCGTGTAGTTTGTTGAAAGTCAACAGCAGACAGCAAGTACAGCTCTGCTTGCTACCTGCTCCATGCTGGTTTCTTGTTTGGCTTAATCTTCGACCCTGAAGACATGTTCCTCCAAAATGTCAGTTGACTTGCAGCAGACTATATGGTTATCCAGAAGACAGAACTCTTCACTGTACAACCTGAGCTATTAAGAATGCCATTAAATAAACCACAAGAATATGAACACTGAACAGAGAAAACACTACAGGTCTAATGATTAGAGGAAAAACTTTTATATAGGCCTATATAACATGAGCCCCCCATTCTCTCTCTCTCTCAATAAGTAAGTTACAAATGGATATAGAACTTAAACAAATAAGAGTACTGATTTGAAAAATGCTTTTATTTCTCAACATAATCTTCCTGTACACTGAGGCACTTGTTCCATCATTTCACAAGCCCCAGAAAACCAGCAGCATAAAATTCTTTGGGCTGCTGTTTGAACCAGGCAGTGACTTCCCTTTCTGCAGCTTTATTGTTGGGAAAATGTTCAGCTGAAAGATGATGTTTAAGAGGGCCGAACAAATAGAAGTCTTGAAGCGAGGTCGGGGCTATACAGAGGATGCTCGAGGACTTTTCACTTGAAATTTCGCAGCTTCTCATTTGTCTTGTTGGCAATATGAGGACACACGTTGTCATGCAACAGTAACATGCCTGGTTCCGACAGTAGCCCAAAGAATTTTATTCTGCTGGTTTTCAGGGGCTTGTGTAATGATGGAACAAGTGCCTCAATGTACAGGGAGATTATGTTGAGAAATAAAAGCATTTTTAAAATCAGTACTCTTATTTGTTTAAGTTCTATATCCATTTGTAACTTACTTATTGACTTACCCTCGTGTATATATTGGTCCGCAGTATGCGTATGACTATAGACAGGATTTGATTGGTGACTCAGTTTATTTGCCACTTATACACACCACTCGTAACTACAAGTAACTATAATGCTATTGCTAATCCACTCACACATGGAGCTGAGCCCTTCTTGAGAAGCTGCCGATTGTGCAGCTTCTCAAGAACTTCCCAGCATTTGCAGAACCTTAAGGTTCATTGCCTTGTTCAAAAGAGCCCTCCACTGGTCCCTATCCTGAGCCAGATCAACCCAATCCATAACATTCCATCCTCTCTCTCTCTAATAGCCATTTTAATATTGTCCACCCACCTATGTCTTGGTCTTCTTAGTGGTCTCTCTCCTAATCAACACACTTTACAGAGTAATACAACACTTGCTAAGTCAGTTTACTTTCACTGGTCGTTTCCTGGTAATGGGTCTTAACAACGGAGATTCTTCTGTGCTCACATCATTACTGTTTGGCAAATATCCATATCCTGAGCCAGATCAATCCAATCCATGCCATCCTCTCTCTCTAGTATCCATTTTAATATTGTCCACCCACCTATGTCGTGGTCTTTCCTAATCCAAACACTTTACAAATTACTGCAGCACATGCTAAGTCCTCTCAGTTTGCTTTCACTGGTCACTTCCTGGTAAAGGGTCCTAACAATGGAGATTCTTCTGTGCTCATATCATTACTGTTTGGCAAATATCCCACAACTGAACTGCCTCTCTGACTTTACAGATCACTGACACATACAGACTTGTGGCCTCAGTCTATTACAGTCTCCAGGGAATTATATGCTCCACATATCATATAAAGTCTTTTCTTCATGGCTGGATTTTCAACTGAGCATTCTTGCAACTAACTCGGCACCATTTCACACCACCCTCCTTGCCTTCTCTTCACCATGTGACTTCTGTAGAGAACTGGCTCTCAAGTGACTGTACCTTGCACGTAACATCTCAACATGGACCACAAAACACACCTTTTCCATTATTGTAGTCCAACTGTTGCATTATTAAGAATCTGCTGCCTAGCAAGGGGAGTTGCCCAGAAACAAGTCTGGTATATCCACCCATCTTGCAGTCATTGCATAACAATGGCTCTACATGACACATATACATACACATTCCCTCTCTAGTTTTAGTGGTCTGGTAGTATGTTACTACCCACACTATGACATGATTCCTATACATGTTCCACTGTTGATATAAAAAACTTCCTTTCCAGCAAGTGGAAAGTGTAGTTACAAGTAAAGAATGGCCAACTGCAAAAGAGGCAGCTGATATCAAGAACCCTGGCAACCTGAATGTCATTCAAAATTTTAGTGAACTGCAATGTGACTTACGTAACTCATTCATTAGATGACTTAAAACACAAAAAAAAAATATATAGCCTAAACCTCAATGTGTTTGGTGTAGTGACTGTCTTCATGACACTATAGGATAAGGACTAAAAAAAACAAAACAAGAATTGTGAAACATGTACAATAGGACGATGAGGGAGCCTTCCAAGCCAAAGCACGATTATGTGAATGGAATTTGAGTTACTACAGTTCCAGTTTAACTGGTGGATTGCGTTTAGCATTCAATTAGCCACTACAATGATAACAATCAAAATCATTTTATTTGTGTGTGTGACAGATGTATACTGAAGTGCTGGCCCAGTACGAACACATGAAGGCCCCACCAGCTCCAACACAACTGCACACCCAGCAACCTGGACTTCATCATGAACATGACTCCTATGACTGGTGAAATTTCATCACCCTTCAATTCAGCCCCTCAAGAGTACCATGCAGCATACATATTTAATTTTGCTCTGACAGCCTCAGTGGTAAAGTGTAGCCCTTAAACAAAAGAATTTTGTTTCTAATATACAAGGGAAAGAAAACAGTCTGAGCCCTTGCCAGGCAGGAGTTCTCAAAATGGACTCAGTAATCTCAGTATCATTTATTTAGTCTTTAAGGTCAACTAGTTCTGTGGGAATATGATGTCTGAAGGACTGAAATGCAGTTTTCCATGCAGCCACAATACTCAAGACTTGTAAGTGCATTTTGCACTATATTTAAGCATGTAAACTGGAATTTTCTTTTCTCTAAGTCAAGAAACAGAGTCCTTCTTGAGAAGCTGACAGTCATTCAGCTGGTGAAGAAGTTCCTTGCCTTTCATGAAACCCAGACATTCATTACCTTAGTCACTGGAACCTATCCTATACCAGAATAATCCCTCCCGTACCCTCACACCGTTTCTTTAAGATCCATTTTAATATCACCCTTCCAGTCATACCTAGATCATCCAAGTGATCCACAGGTTTCCAGCAACAAATTTTTCATTTCTCCCATGCGCAGTATATGTGCTACCTATCCATTCTCCTTTACTCTATCATGGCTGTAATATTATGAGGGTCATCCAGAAAGCAAAGACGGCTAGCACACATGCCCTATTTGCTGACTTTGCCTGGAACGTTTTTTTACATCTTTCCTACAGTCTGGACCTGGCTCCAAGTGATTTTCACTTGTTCACACATTTGAAGAAGTGAACACTGGTTCAACAGACTGGCGGCAGTCTTTTATGATGCAGGCATACAGAAACTAGACATACAATATGAGAAATAAATGCCTGAATCTTCATGGGGATTATGTAGGAAAACGATTTAAGGTCTGTAACAGTGATATAAAATAAATTTTCTTTAATTGTATCCATTTATTTAATCACCAAACGGTCTTTACTTTCTGGACAATCTATGTACCTATTGAGATGTTTTCAATTATACTCCTGTTTATAAGTGAAGTGCACACATTTATGGAAAATTACTGTTGTTAATCATACTGAGCACTGCTCACACAAGAAACTGAAATGTATGTATGTTATATTTGTGTGTATGCATGTGACATGTGACTACTCTCTCTGTCTTCCCCCTTACTTAGATTATATTCACTTCAATATTCAAAGATGCACTTCAGTGGAGAGTAATCACTTTCATAACAGATGAAAATGGAATTAGCATTAACCACTCATGTATTGATGGGTGACAAGCACAATGAAAGGTCAAACAGATAGCCCACAAGACTGATACGTTCACCCTCTACAAGGAATCTTACCACTGTGAGCACTTAAATAGGGATCCATTGTCACAGATCAATAAACATGCAAAAAAAAGGGGGTGGGGGAGGGGAACTGTAACCTTTCTATGCTTCTGGGATATCATACTGCTAGTACACTTACAGGAAAGTGAGAGTCTGTTATAAATAGTGTCTTTTTTACTTGGCAGGGACTGACAAAATAAACAAAAATGGAGGAAACTGTATCTGAATACCAAACTCTGGAGATGTGAGACTCCTAAATGAACATTAAATGTTTTTAGGAAGATTAACAATCAAATATGTAATCTCTAACAGAGAATTTAAGGTTGCCATGCTAAATATGTTGATAAAGATCTCTGGTGTCAGAAACAGTGCAAACATTTTGTATACTGCATCAACTATTGTAAGCCTTCAAGAGTATAACACTGGACTCTATAAATGGTAAAATTCTGGCTCCAAGAAGAGACATTAATAAACAGAAGAAATGGTGTCACGCATATACGGAAAGGATGATTACAATTCAAGTTGCTTTTCCTGCTGTTGTTTTCACTACTGCAAATTAAACATTAAGTTATGTGTGATGTGTGTTATCACTGCCATGGTAAATATGCACTGCACGTTTTCTGAAATTTAAAAATTACATGTTAATAACTTCCTATGAATACATTATTACGGTTAATGAGAATGTTATATGAGCAGTTTAGTAACTGCCATTTTAATTTTTAAATGCATTCACTCATTATGCAACAGAAACTGGTGTACATTACATTACAGTAAACTCTCGCTAATCTGGATTAATTGGGGAGAAAGGTCATCCAGATTAATGAAGCAAAACATATAGCCCTACAGGATAAAAAAACTTAGAAAACAAATGGAAAATTTAATAATATAGGCAGTGCTGATGAAACTAATTAAACAATATCACTGTAGAGCCTTTATTTAAAAATTATAAAAAGACAAGAAGCTGAAATCCAGTGTCTCCCTCATCCAGCTGAAGCCAATCATGGATATTTTCCTGTGTGGGTTCAGTCTCTCCAGCTGCCCTCAACACAGTCTAAAATTCCTCCTGCTCTAATTCCTCTTGCTCCTAAATCCCATGTGTCTTTTAAAGCATGTATTCAACTTGGATAAGAATTGTTCATGTTTTGATCCTGATTATCCAACACCTAGATTAGCGAGGTTTTACTGTTTTTCTTTCTTCTGACACCAATTCCTGGGAAAAAAAAAACCTGGACAGAGTATATCAACATGCTGTATGTTACCATCACTCAACAATGACACATCTTCTATAGAAACATGTGATTGGGGAGATGTTTAGGTGCAGCAGTATGGATTCCTCTGGGTCCCCTCTAGTGTCTCTAGTGTGTGAGCGCGAGCCAATATCATTAGGAGTCTCCATATTTAAGCAAAATATGGTTATGGTATTACAAGAAAAGTAATTTAGTGCAATTCCTGCAACCCATGACACCCTGGTACTCCAGGCAGTGCTCCCACTTACAATTTATATTACTTCACCCTGTCACTTTGTTTTTCTCAGTCAGGACATATAGAGACTGACTTCGACTGTGGTCAATGCCTACAAAACTACATGGTGTCATAACCCACAACAAACAATCTGAACTTCCATTGCTGCTGCAAAAACCTCAAATCTCCTGTTAATTCACAATAATGCTTCACACATTTCTAATTTTCTCATATGAAGAATAAAAATACAAAGTAAAGGTCATATTATGTGTGTTTAAATGTCATGCCAAAAAAGCATACAGAAAATATGGAGGTAAATGTCAATGGATTTGTGAGCTTGGCATTAGTGGAGAGGAGAGAGGCAAAAGTGACACTTCTTATGCTTAGAGCATGATTTATTATCTCCTGATATTTGAGATTTTTGCTTGTGGTGAGTTGGTGATTCAGTTCTGTGTGCTCCTGCCCACTTATAAAAGAGATACATGATTGGCTGCAGTACGGAGCAAATGTAAAAATCATGTGTGTTCAAATGATGTTTATAGGCACATAAAAGCAAAAAAAAAAAAAAAAAGGTTCTAATATTAAGTGCCACACTGAAGAATTTGGAGTGTCAGCAAAGTGGCACTCTTTGTGGAATTCCAGGGAAGAGTGCTTGTGATGTGGTTGGTGGCACCCTAGAAAGGTTTGCAGAAAAAGTCAGTTTGCACTGACCATTTAATGACCAAATAATGACATCTCACAGCTACATAAATGGGCTCAATCCAGTATACACGACCTCAATTTTGATTCTGTTACACCAAATGAATACAAGGTAGAAGAGGTTCTGTTATCAAATTGATTTACAACAGCTGAAATTGTACATGGAACTCAGCAGCTCCATACATTTGTGCCAGTTAAGAAGGAAATACTTAACACAAAAATGTTTCTGCTTCTCCTAACTACACAGAGAACCATGTGATTTTTGTGCTAAAAGACCAAAAGAATGGTACTACCTGTTGCTGAGGATTCAAATATATGGAAGTAAATTTTCTTCAACCTCACGAAGCCTCTGAATCACACAGCTATACCAGATATTCCGTGGTTTCCTCAATCATCAACTCTAGCAAAAAAAGTAGGTCCTACACTGCAACAGGACATAAACACACTTCATCTAGTGAAGAGACTAAATTCACAGCAGATAGATACAAAACATACACCTGTAACTTCCACTAACCATGACAAAAGAACTTCACACTTGTCATGTAAATTATATAACAGAAATGTTGTTTTTCCTAAGTATCGCTTTTGAGTGCTCACAAGATTGTACTGACAACTGTTTACAAGCTTCTGAACAAGTAGCTTTCTTACAATAAGATATCTTATGATGTGCTACTGAAAGGTTCCTGGACTAGGTCAGAAAAGAAATGCTGGCTTAACTTCCTCAATTTTGGCTGCCATCTCCTTCAAAATAGTCTCCTTGGGAACACACACAGTAATCCTATCGTTTTTTCCACGCCTCAAAGGTATCATGGAAGTCATTTTCCTTAATGCTGTTGAGTACCACTCGTGATACCCTTTGGAAGTCAGATACCGTTTCAAAATGTTGTCCCTTCAGTTTCTTTTTTCAATTTGGGAAACAAAATGAAATCACAGGGGACTAAGTCCAGTGAGTAGGGAGGATGGGGAACGATAACCATATTGTTGTTAGCCACAAACTTAGCGGCCTCCGTAGTCTAGAGGTAACGTTCCCACCTCATGACTCGTAGTATGCGAGTTCAAATACCCAGCAGAGGTCGTCGAATTTTTAAGGGTGGAAAAATTCAGGGAACAAGTCCTCTGGGAGGGACTTTAAGCCGTGGGTCCCATGTCGTAGCTTTACGGCACGTAAAAGAAACTCATGTCTCCAAAGGAGGCCACTGAGCAAAATTACGGACGTTTCCTGCCCAACAGTAGTCTCTAATACCTCTGGTAGATGGGGAAAGCATTATAGATACCACTCAGCTAATAGAGGCCGATCTCGCTGGCTGGTCGGGACTGATGGTAAGCACCAGTACCAGTAGGATATAGAGACTGGTAGAATATCATAGAGGGAAGTACAATGGACCAAGACAGGTCTAAGTGCATGGGGAAACCCACCCTCTCCAATAACTAACTAACTAGACACAAACTTCATGGTTTTCAGGGATGTGTGGGTGGGTGCATTGTCATGATGAAGGAGCCAGCTGTGGCTGTGCCAACATTCCGATCTTTTTTGTCACATATTTTCTATCAAGTGTCTCAAAACATTCATAATTGATCCCAAAAGTGTCTGTGAGCTCACGGATTGTTCGGCGATCATCTTCGTGGATGAATTTTCACATTTTTTCAACATTTTCTGTCATTTTTCTGGCGCTCAGTCGCCCTGAACATTCGTCATCTTCAACTGACACTCAACCAGCCTTGAAATGAGAATGCCATTCCAAAACAGCTGTCTGGCTTAACGAATGTTCCCCAAAAGACTCACAAAGCATTCAAGGTTTCAGTAGTGGATTTATTGAGCTTCATGCAAAACTTGATGTAGATACATCACTTAAATTTTCCATCCATCACAGACAAAATGAAACATGAAGACAAAAAAAGCACTCGTGTAAAAACAATGCACTCTCACAGCATGGTATCACATGGCAAACTGATGCAATAGGCTTGTGGAAGTGTGACCTTGGGCTCCCCTCACATCTTCTTCCACTGAGGCAGTTACAACGGTTACAACACTAACAGTCCTGGAGCCTTCCAATAGCAATTGCAGTGCTTCTCTCTCTCTATATATACACTTGGTCGTCGAATTATGACCACAAAAGAATGAAACATGAAAGATGATTAAAATGTAAAAGTTTTTAAAAATAAATTATAAAGATGATAAAAAGATTAGAAAGTTTAAGAAATACTGTTAATAAATTTATGGCCGACATATGACCAGATCGACTTACGACCTGTCAGTCAGAATGAAAGTCGGTCGTAAGTCGACGACCAAGTGTACACACACACACACAGTTTATGCATGTTAACCTAAATTCATACTTGCAGAGAATTCAAAGAGACATGTCACTTTAAGTTGCCTCATCAATACAAGTGAAGTGACTCTTCACAGTACAATGCTTCACAAAACTCAATTCCATTGGAGCCCCAACTTTATACCTGCAGACATTTTAAATAACGAGTTACATGAACACACGAACATGACATAACAAAGTCAAGTTTTCCCTGATCTTAAGTGATTAAGCACTATACTATGAATGTGTATGGTGGAGCAGATGTATAGATCCACATTCTATTGTCCTCGGCATTAGTTAGAGGTGAGTGGTCCACTTCACACCCCAGCTGCTTTAACCCCAGAGAAAGATCCTCTGGTACCCATTGGATAGGAGGCTGGGTGGGCCCCAGAACCAGTCTGGATGACATGGAGCAAAGAAAGTTCTTGATCATACTAGGGCTCGGACCCCAACCCCGACCCCTTGGTCATCCAGTCCCTGGAAAGGACACTTTATTAGCTTTGAAATGAGCTCTTGTCTAAACTAGGGCAGAAGTTATGCCACTTTTTCTAAAACATTTGTGCACAAAATACTAAAATTTTTTTTTTTTTTTTTTTCAACTNCCTTTTTTTTTTTTTCCAACTTTGAATGTGTGCTCTCAAACTTCTAACAGCCCTCCACTGGGATTACAATCTCACAAAATTATTTAGTTTGGAGAGGGCTGGGTTGGAAATGTCTCTTTTCTGTATTGATTTGATATGTAATGAACCAACACATAAGAGGAGGAAAAATTAATCTTCTTTGACTGCTGACTGAAACTATATACGAGTATATACAACATTAATGAGTACATGATACCGAAGTAACATACTGCAGCTATTATAAGATGAAACCTATAAAGAACAGTGAAGCACATATATATGGTTGATATAGTTGGAGCACCACATATAACATTTATGCATTTGACATACGATATGTTAGGATATGTGTCCTGAAATTCCTCAGACTAAAACTGTGGATATGTAAATTACATTTATAACAATATACAGAAACATACTTACTAAAGTGAGTATATATTCTGCTTTCAAGCATATTTTCTCTCTTCACTGAAATGTCTTAATTAATGGGCGTTTACTCCATAAATAGAGAAAAACAGTATAATTCATGACAAGTGTCATGATTCACATCAAATTTTTGGACATTATTATTTAATACATATATTCTTTTTCAAATTTTTGTTTTAAATTAATATCTAAATTCAGATCTGTGAAAGAATTTTTATTAATAAATCTGTCATACATTATCATGTTATATGTTTTATGTGGTGTGATTGAAAATGAACCAAATACTGAAGTCCTCCATTCACAATTTCAATGATTACTCATTGTAACAGGTTTATGAGTTCATTACTTTGACTTGAGAGTATACAGAACTTCATTACTGTGTGTTATGTGCATGGAGTTACTTCGTTCAAGAGTGAAATGGAATCACAGAAAATTTTGAAAAAAGGGGGTTGCCCATGGCTTGCTGTCTATCACAATGGCTAATGCCTAATGGGCCCACAAATGATCAAAACATGAGATGTTTCATAAGCAACTGCAATACATACGGACAATCAGATTTACTGAACAAATAAGATTCATTTTATGACAAAATATTAACTGTCATACAATTATTGTGTTTCTGGACATTATCCATCATCCTGTTTTTTATTTAAAACAATGTTTTAACAGAATGGATTCTTTCTCCATCTCCAGGTAAAAACCTACTCAGTTGGTTATCCACAGAGCTAGTCCCTATCTCTGGTCACCAGCACCAACACAAGATAAGATATATAAACCAAACGCAACATAACACTATCGGTGAGTTAAACAAAAACTCCACACACAAGGCTAACACCTATGTCCATGCATTATTTAATGGCCAATGCCTATAAAATCAGTGTATTTTCAAAATATAATCCATCACTAAAAAGATAAATTCTCTGTATAGTATAAATATGAAAAACACAACTATCTCACATAATCTACACTGGATGGAGTTATAGTTTTCTAATTTCTGTTGCAATAATGGGAGTCCAGATGGAAGAGATGACCAAGCTGAGTTTGATCACATGTGACAGAGATGTGTGAGTGGATTCCTAGTATTTCCTGTATGTGGTGTTCAGTTCTATCTGCAAGACCTTTGTTTCTTTCCAACACATTTTATGGCCTTCGTATGCATGTTGGGCTAATTTTGATTTTTTGAGCAGACCTTGGGTCAGGCTGTATTTGTGCTCCTTCATGCATACTCCTAATGGTCTGCTTGTTTCACCAATGTAACACCTGCCACAATAACATGGGATGTTATACACACTGCTTTGTCTGTTGGGCATCTCTAGCTGGTCCAGTTTTCATCATTGTCCCACATAGAGTATGTTCAGTTTTGAATATGGTCCTGACATTGAAAGAGTTTCCAGTGCATCTGAATTTCTAAGAAACACCCTTAACTATGGGATAATGACTGTGCTCTGGTATATTGTATCTGAAGAAAGGTGGTCACTTCTCAATGACTTCATTATGGAGTAAAAGAAAGCTTGCAGTATTCATTAAGTATCAGATCAGGCCACACCATAGCACCAGCGGTTAGTCGCTGGTTTCCTACCACGGCAGCCCGGGTTCGATTTCGGGTCTGGTCAAGTGGGATTTGTGGTGCACAGTGTGGCGCTGGGGCAGGTTTTCTCCAAGTACTTCGGTTCCCCTGCCAATCTTCATTCCACCAATTGCTCCACAATTACTCTCACCTATCATCTGGGGCTGGTACAATAGGCCAGAAGTGGCTGCAGTGCAAGGGACTTAGTCCCACCCCATTAGCAATAAAAGAAAAGTATCAGATCAAGTCTCATGCTTTTAATTTCAATAGGGCCCAACTCAGTAGGTTTTCACCAGAAGACAAAGACAGAATCCAGTCTCCAAAAGATCATGTTCCAAATAGAAAAACAGGATGATGATTAATGTCCAAAAACACAATAACTCTCTTAATATACCATCATCATAAACTTTCAGATCTTATTC